TTTCTTTCTTTTTTTTTAAATATCTTTATTGATTTCAGAGAGGAAGGGAGAGGGAACGAGAGATAGAAACATTAATGATGAGAGAGAATCATTGATTGGCTGCCTCCTGCACATCCTCCACTGGGGATAAAGCCCATAACCCAGGCATGTGCCCTTGGCTGGAATCGAACCTGGGATCCTTCAGTCCACAGGCTGACGCTCTATCCACTGAGCCAAACCAGCCAGGGCTGTTTCTTCTTTTTTAAAAAAGAATTTACCGAAATGCATGGTTTAACTTCCTCATCAAAACCTTCCTTCTATTCTTTTGTGCTTTTGATTGACTAACACGAATTTCTAGAAAATTAACATTTGAACTTAGCTGTGATTCTAAACTGACCTTTCCCCCCGTAATAACGTTTGAGTTCCCCGTGTGCCTCGTTTTCTGAATGCTCCTACTTTTAAGCACGGAACATGCAGGTGATGTGGAAAGTGTAGGCAGATCTGAGAGAACGAGCCTGTTTCAGAGGGGCACCGTCACAGTGAACTCTTCTGGAAGCTTAACAAAACTAACCCAGCTGTCAGGTGTGTTTTTTAATTAATAACATTTTGTTTAATTAATAGCAACATAGATTAAGGGTTTGGAGACTTGCATGGAAACATTTTAGCCCCCTGGAACGTTCCTGCAGTTTGCAATCTTCCTATAGAAGTAACCATAAATCTCTAGAGGGGTAGCTGAGCAGGCATCGGGACTGTCATTGACATGGATGTGACATTTCCAAACAGTGGCAAGTTGAATCCCTTGTGACATAGTAGCTGTTGCTCTTTTGTTGATTGTTAAAGAGGCTCACCAATGTCTCTTGTGATTCTTAGGACTGTGGGGAGGTCACCGTCCTCACAGGCAGATTTCCATGTAGTGCTCACCTGAGATGCCGGATCACCTACTTACTGTATTCTGTCTAATTGTTATATTACATAATAGAATGAGATGATATCAAAGTGAACGTGTAATGACAATACATATTAATATTCTTGTAGCTATGGTTAGAGAAGCCGATGCCTCATTTCCACATTTTGTCATTAGCTAATATCAGCCAACGTTTCAGTGTATCCTTACAGAAATAAAAGTAGCATATAAATAAAAAAAATATATATTTTTATTTATTTCAGAGAGGAAGGGTGAAGGAGAGAGAGAAAGAAACATCAATGATGAGAGAGAACCATTGACTGGCGGCCTCCTGCATGCCCCTACTGGAGATCGAACCCGCAATCCGGGCATGTGCCCTTGACCAGAATTGAACCTGGGACCCTTCAGTCTTCAGGCACATGTTCTATCCATTGAGCCAAACCAGCTAGGGCATGCTTCTTTAAAAAAAAAATACATTTTTAAAATTGATTTTAGAGAGGAAGGGAGAGGGAGAGCGAGAGATAGAAACTTAAATGATGAGAGAGAATCATTAATCGGCTGCCTCCTGTACACCCTACCTTGGGGATCTAGGGGTTGTGGGCTCGATCCCCAAGGTAGGCTGCCTCCTACACACCCCCTAATGGGGATCGAGCCCACAACCTGGGCATGTGCCCCTGACCAGAATCGAACCCGGGACTCTTTGGTCCCCACGCTGACATTCTATCCCACTGAGCCAACCAGCTAGAGCAATACTGACATTTTTAAGAGTACAGACCAGTTATGTTATAGAATGTTTGGGTTTGTCTGATGTTTCTTCCCAATTAGATTCAGGGTATGCATCCCAGCCGGAATACTAGAAAAATGAAGGTGTGTCCTTTACAAGGCATCCCACCTGGAGGAGCAAGATGTCCACCTGCCCATGATTGATGATAATTTTGATCCCCCGGTCAAAGTTTTGTTGAACTTTCCCACTGTATAGTTACTATTTTTCTTCCTATAACTAAAAGGTCATATTCAGGGAGACACTTTTAGACAATGCAAATACATTCTTCCTCCTCAGACTCCCCCCACTCTCAGATTTATTGAGCAACCATTTATGATTCTTGCTTGAACCCATCTTGACTATGATGATGGAAAATGGTCATTTTCCAGTTCACCATTCCCTCCACAGCACTGGGATTTTTTTTTTTTGAAACAGCATTTTTGAGATATAACCGACAAGTAATTAACAGCACACATTTAACTTAAAGTGTACAATTTTGATGTTTTGACCTATGCTCTCCCATGAAACCATCACTACAACTAAGGTATGAACATAGCTACCGTCCTCAAAAGTTTCCTAGCGCTCCTATCTCCTACCTCTTACTCCCCTTCCAACCACTGATCTGTTCTGCTTTCTGTCGCTGTAGATTAGTTTGCATTTTTTAGAATTTTATATAAATGAAATCATACAGTATGTACTCTTTTTTTGGGGGGGGGTGTCTGGCTTTTTTCATTCAGTATACTTATTTTGATATCCAATTTTATTTGTAGCGTGATCAACAGTGCGCTCACTTTTATTGTGGGGTAGTAGTCTTCCATCATCTGGATACATTACAGTTTGTTTATCCATTCACCTGTTGTTGGATTTAGATAGTTTCCAGTTTGGGGGCGTTACAAATTAAGCTGCAATGAACATTTGTGGAGACATCTTTATATACGGACATATGCTTTTCTTTTTCTTGGGTAAATACTTAGGATTGGAGTATGTTTAACTTTTTAAGAACCTGCCAAACTGTTTTTCCGAAGTGGTGGTAATTTTTTACATCCCCACCAGCTGTATAAAAGTTCCAGTTCCTCCACAGTCTTGCCCAAACTGGGTATGGTCAGTCTTTTTCAGTTTTAACCATTCTAATAGGTACGCAGTGGTATCTCATTGTGGTTTTCATTTGCATTTATCTGATAACTAATGATATCAAATATTGTTTCATGGGCTTCTTTGCCATCCGTATATCCTCTTTATTGAAATATCTGTTTAAATGTTTTGCCCTTTGTCGGGGGGAGGTGTGGTATTTGCTTTCTTGTTATTGAGTTTTGAGATTTTGGATACAAGTCCTTCATTAGATACATGATTTACAAATATTTTCTCCCAGGCTGTGACGTGTTGTTTTATCCCCTAACAGTATATCTTTTGAGGAAAACAGTTTTTAGAATTTTGATGACGTTTCCCCTGAATGGTGTGGCTTGGTTGGTTGGAGCGTCATCCTCTACACCAGCGGTTCTCAGCCTGTGGTTCGCGACCCCTTTGGGAGTTGAACGACCCTTTCACAGGGGTCGCCTAAGATCATGGGAAAACACAAATATAATTACATATTATTTTTGTGATTAATCACTATGCTTTAATTATGTTCAATTTGTAACAATGAAAATACATCCTGCATATCAGATATTTACATTACGATTCATAACAGTAGCAAAATTACAGTTATGAAGTAGCAATGAAAATAATTTTATGGTTGAGGGTCACCACAACATGAAGAACTGTATTAAAGGGTCGCGGCATTAGGAAGGTTGAGAACCACTGCTCTACACGAAAAGGTCTTGGGTTGGATTCCCGGTCAGGGCACATACCCAGGTTTCAGGTTCGGATTTGAGTTCAATTCCTAGTTGGCAACAGATGGATATTTCTCTCTCACATCGATGTTTCTCTGTCTCTCTCTCTCTATATATAAATGTAACAAAAACTTATCCTTGGGTGAGGACGAAACATTTTTTATGCAGTTCAATGTATGAATTCAGTTTTTTATGATAAAAATTTGGGGGGGTCATATCTAAGATATCTTTGCCTAATCCAAGGTCACAAATGTTTTATCCTAGAAGTCTTATAGGCTTTGGTTTTATAGTTAGTTATATGACCTAAATGGTTACATTTAGGCATATGATTGAGTTAATTTTTGTAGATAGAATGGAGTATGGAAGGAAAATTATTTTTGCATATGAATATCTAATTGTTTTAGCACCATTTGTTAAAAAGATTATCCTTTTTCCATCGAGTTGTCTTTACACCTTTGTATAAATTATGATACATATGTGTGGGTTGGATTCAGATTTTTAAATGCTCCATTGGTATAAAGCCAAGAGCATGGGTTTGGGGTCTAGGCACGTTTGGGTTGGAATCCTAGTCTTGTCACTATCTAGGCATAGTTGACCTATAAAGTAGAAACAATGATACTACCCACCTCAGGGTGTTTCCTACAATTTACAATGTTTTCTCTCTGTATCTTCTGCTCTCCTTCTATGCAGCGTGCTAGAACTGGGAAAGCTGGTCTTGAGTAATGTTTTTATTTCTATTTAGATTAAAAAAATTTTTTTTCACCCTGGCTGGGTAGCTCAGTTGTTAGAGTGTTGTTTGGATAAGCCAAGGTTGTGGGTTCAACCCCCTCTCAGGGCACATACAAGAATCGATTACTGAATGCATAAATAACTGGAACAACAAATAGATGTTTCTCGCGCTCTCTCCCTTTCTCTTAAATCAATAAAAAGTATTTTTTTCAATTACAGTTTATAGTAAATATTATGTTTTATTAGTTTTAGGTATACAGCATACTGGTTAGACAATTATATACTTTACAAAGCATTTGCCCTGATATTTCCAGTACCCAACTGTCACCATACATAGTTATTACAATATTATTTTTAAAAAATGTAATTTATTGATTTTAGAGCAGTGGTTCTCAACCTTCTGGCCCTTTAAATACAGTTCCTCATGTTGTGACCCAACCATAAAATTATTTTTGTTGCTATTTCATCACTGTAATGTTGCTACTGTTATGAATTGTAATGTAAATATCTGATATGCAGGATGGTCTTAGGCGACCCCTGTGAAAGGGTCATTCGACCGCCAAAGGGGTTGAGAACCGCTGTTTTAGAGGGAGAGAGGAAGGGAGAATGAGAGAAAGAAAGATTGATTTGTTGTTCCACTTATTTATGCATTCATTGCTTGATTCTTGTATGTGCTCCTGACCAGCGATGGAACCCACAACCTTGGTGTATCCCGGATGATGCTCTAACCAACTGGGCTACCTGACTAGGGCACAATATTATTGTCTATATTTCCTATGTTGTACATTACATCCCTGTAAATAGGGAACGCTTCTCGAGTTAGTATGTCATCCTTGTGCAGAGGTCATGCTAATCTTCTCTGTATCATTCCAGTTTTAGTATATGTGCTGCCCAAAAGAGCACTTGAGTAATGTTTTTCAAACTCTTAGAATCCCAGGGCTCTAAGAGGGAAGGCAGGAAGGCTAATGGGTGCCATGGTATCCATGAACTATTTTCAACCGGTTTGAACATCTAACACAAATCAGACCTTTTGCTCCAGGCAAGGCTGTTTGGGCAAATTCCAATCCCTTTGCTTTTGGTGGGTGGGACCAGTATAACTTCTTGCCACTGGTTCAGAGCAGGAGCTCTGCTTAGCTACTCAATACAAGAACAATTTGTTATTACTTGACAACGGAATTTTTTGATAGACAACATTTTTCAAAACATTGGCCTCATGGAGAAATAATAAAGGAAACCTTCGGTGATTAAAAAAAAAAAAAAAATGGAAACCACTCACAGGGCAGGATCCAGAAAGCAACATGAATCTTGCCCTGTGTTTTCCAATGTGTTGGAAGACGAGTCCACAGCTAGCTAGAGACTCCCAGACGGATGAAGGGGAAATGGGCTTCGCTCTTAGAGGGACCCGAGAATGCAAAAGGAAACGAAAATGACTCAAACGTGGGAGTTCAGAGGGGGAATGTGTCTGCAAGATCCAGGACAACCTGGGAAGGCGTGAATCTAAGCACTCGCTTCCTACTGTGTACCATGCTGGTCCCAAGTTTCAGCACATCCCACCCCATCCCAGTGTGTTAGGAACCCATGTATAATTGATCAGTCCTTTAGCTAAAGTCAAGCCACATCCGTGATTGATCAGGGTGCGTTGCAGTTAACCCTCAACCCTGGTTGCTAATGGAAGAATTTCTGGCTGCATCAAGTCTTGGGACAGCGGATGATCCAGAGCTATTCCCCATTAGCTTGTGAAGGTATCCTGCGATGATTCACTTGTTATAAAAATATAATAGACAGTCTAGAAATCTTGGCAAATAGAGCAGAGTCAAGAGAGAGGGGAATAGATAAGGAGAGGGAAAAATAGAGAGGAAGGGGAGAGAAACAGAAATGTACCTATATTCTCAAAACTGTTACTGTTAACAGTTTTCCCAGACTTTTAATTCAATGAATTTTATTATAAAATATTCATACTTATCAAAGATAATTAAGTTGTACATGTAAAGTTTCAAGAATAATACAACAACCTAGCCAGTTTGGCGCAGTGGATAGAGCGTCCGCCTGCGGACGGAAAGGTCCCGGGTTCGATTCCGGCCAAGGGCACATGCCCGGGCTGCGGGCTTGGTCCCCAGTGGGTGGCGTGCAGAAGGCAGCCAATCAATGACTCTCTCATCATTGATGTTTCTATCTCTTCCTCCTTCTCCCTTCCTCTCTTAAATCAATAAAGAAATATATTTTTTTAAAAAAAGAATAATACAACAAATACTTGTGTATCCACCACTCAGATTCAGAACTAGAACATCCATCCCCAATACCTTTGAAGTGCCCTGTGCTACTTTACAGAATTAACCACATTCTGAAATTTTATTTATCATTTTCTTTCTTTTTTAAAGATTAAAAAGCCCTGGCCAGTGTGGCTTGGTTAATTGGAGTGTCGTCCCATACACCGAAAGGTGGCTGATTCCATTCCCAGTCAAGGTGCATAGCCAGGTTGCAGGTTCAATTGGGGCGTGTGAGGGAGGCAGCTGATCAATGTTTTTCACATTGATGTTTCTCTCTCTCCCTTCCTCTCTCTTTCTAAAACTCAATAAAAACATAATATTGGGTGAGGATTGAAAATTTAAAAAAAATTATTGACTTTAGAGAAACATCAATGTGTTGTTCCACTTACTTATGCATTCGTTGGTTGATTCTTGTATGTGCCCTGACTGGAGATCGAACCCTCCAGCTTGGTATTTGGGACAATGCTCTAACCAACTGAGCTACCTGGCCAGGGCTATAGGTATTGTATTATAAACAGTGCCGCTTTGAATATGCTTGGACACCTTTCTGGGTATTCATGTACAAGAGTTTCTGTAAGGTCATTTCTAGTCTTTTACGCACATGTAGTTCTTTTTTTTTTTTTTTTTTAAATATATTTTATTGATTTTTCACAGAGAGGAAGGGAGAGAGATAGAGAGTTAGAAACATCGATGAGAGAGAAACACCGATCAGCTGCCTCCTGCACACCTCCCACTGGGGATGTGCCCGCAACCCAGGCACATGCCCCCGACCGGAATCGAACCCGGGACCTTTCAGTCCGCAGGCCGACGCTCCATCCACTGAGCCAAACCGGCTTTGGCACATGTAGTTCTTTTTAAAAGATAGTTCCAATCATATGAACTATATGTGCACAAACACTCAATTTTGTGATGTGTCCTTTTTGTAAATTTCCTCCAAGTTCTTTTGTCTTTTTTTTTAAACTCCAAGTTTTTCTAAACCCTTTTGAATACAATTTTCATGGCTACGTCATATTTTACCAAGCGCCTATGTTAAAAGTTACTGGATGAGTCCCCTGTTTTTAAGCATTTATATGGTGTGTGTTTTTTCTTGACAGTGATAATTAACATGTGTTTACTTTTGAGATATTGAAAGGTTTTTGTTTTTTTTTACTTTTTGAAATCATGGTAAAATAGGCATAACACAATTTACAATGTTAAGAATTTTTAAGTGTAAAATTTAGCGGCAGTAAGTATATTTACACTGTTGTGACACTATCCATCTGAAGAACTTTCTTATCCCATTAAGTTGAAACCCTAACACTAACTCCCCACCCCATCTCCTCCTGCCAACCCCTGGTAACCTCTGTTCTACTCTCTGTCCTTATGAATTTGACTATTCTAGTATCTCATATAAGTGGAATTATATATCTGTCCTTTTGTGCCTGGCTTATTTCACTTACATAATGTTTTCAAAATTCATCTATGTTATAGCAAGTATCAGAATTTCATTCCTTTTTAAGGCTGAATAAAATGTCTTACAGCCCTGGCCGGGTAGCTCACTTGGTTGAAGCGTCGTAAATGACAAAATTTCATTCTTTATTGCTGGTAATATTCCATTGTGTACGTACCACATTTTCCTTATGCATTCATCTGTTGGTGGACACTTAGATTGCTTTAATATCTTGGCTGTTGTAAAGCGTGCTGCAGTTAACATGGGGCTGCATATATCTTTTCAAATTAGTGTTTTTGTTTTCTTCAGATGGATACCCACAAGTGAAGTTGCTGGGTCACATGGTAGCTCTATTCATAACTTTTTGAGGAACCTCTGTACTGTTTTCCATAGTGGCAGCACCAATTTGTAATCCCACAATCAATGCACAAGGGTCCCCTCTTCTCCACATCCTCACCAGCACTTGTTTGTTGGTTGCTATTCTTGATGTAGACAAGTCAGCCTTTTGAATTACCAAATTTACCTGTATTCTATCTGATGGTTGTGGAGTATTATATTTATAAAAGTGTATATATAAAGAAAGAAAAAGAAAAAAGGAAGCAAGGAAAGAAAAAGCACTCAATAGGCTAAACACATCATTTTATCTGATCACAATGGCCATGTCTTCTCAGATATACCACGACACTTCTTTAATATATATTTTTGGAGAGGTGTCAGCATTGTGTTGGACTCCCCAAGTTGATTTGACCTTGAGGATTTGATACATAAAATGCTGATAACAAAATTAGTTATAAGCAACATATGATACAGAAAAATAATACACAGAAGTAAAATTGTCTAGTGAATATTCAGCCAATAAACACGGAGTGAGGGGACAGGGTGGAGGAGCTCTGGGGTCTGAATCAACCTGGGGCTCTCAAAAAATGCAAAATGAGAACATTTTGGTGAATAAAATAATTCAAGCATCTCTGAATCCTTTCACTTCGCCACAAATAAGTTTGATTGATAAGAAGTTGTGATAGTGGGAGAGGCAGAAGGAAAAGGAAAGGAGTGAAGAAAAAGCAAGTTTGATAGGTATATTGATTAAAAAAAGGGAAGAAATGGGTTGAGGGGCAGAGGAGCCCAAGAATAATAAAAGGGGGAAGAGAAGTGACAAAGAAAAAAGAAAAATTGAAAAAAGCGTAAAGGTAAAGGGGGGGAGGAGAGGAATTGACAGTGTCGGGAGTAGGAAGAAAAATGGAGGAACAAAAGGAGAGGGGAGGGAGAGAAAGGGGAGGGGCGGGAGGAGGGGCAGGGAGGAAGAGGAAGATAGGGAGCTCATGAACCTCCTTTCAATGCAATTTAGAAATAACTCTACTATTTGTTTCCAACACAGTTTATAAACACATTTTAAAAATGAAAACTATAAAAACGTGTTCACTAATTTATCATATGACTGCTGACCAAATACTTTCATGTTATAGCATGAAAGTTGTGCTAATAATTCTTAAAAATGTAAGGGTCTTTATGGGAGAGGTGGGTGGACCAAAACTCTTTCTTAATGATCAACCCATGAAAATTAGAAATCACTTTTAGAACTGTATCTTAGTTTAGTCAAACAACCATTTTTTTTTTTTTAAATAGCATACTATTAGGCTGGGTCCCTTTTCTTTATAAAAGTGGTTTATTTTACAAAGAGATTAAACTGTTTCTCATGAATAGTTTAGTGATGAAATCTTAGTAAAATATTATATGTATTAATTTTTTAAACTTAAAAAACCATAGCAGCATCTCCTTTTAGGCACTTTGAAATATTTGAGACAGCTCCTGAAAAAAAAAAAATCCTAACTAGAAACAGGAGTAAAACCAATTAAACTTATAGTCAGGAGTAAAATTTTAAATATGCAAACAAAAATAATTTGCTTTCCAGCTAGAAAAATTATTTGTCTTAAAAAGCATAGATATTATGTATTAAAAATCAAGATACCTCCACGAAGTTTATAATTACCTCTATGTTGTAATTGATTCATTTTGAATTAAATTCATTTAAATACTTTGAAGATATGTAGATTTCAAGAACAATATTATATTATTTTCATTGAAACACTATTTAGGTATGGATTCTCTTTTGTTGCTTTTTGCAATTTGTTTTATTTTGAAAAATAACATTTATTTCCTTCTCTTTTCTTGAATTGTACAATTCCTCCCTCAAATGAACCAGTGATCTA